CTCCAGCCCTGGGTCAGGCTCGTCCTGCAGCCACACACCACCCTGGTCTCGTCAATTTGCAAATGAGGTAAATTTAACTACTCACAGCAGTGACAAGATGCCACCAAGTCCATCACCCTGTGCCCACCTCTGCATTGAGTCAGCACATCCCACTGCTCCCCCATTTCCTTCCTCAGCCAAAAACCCCACGGATCACACAGCAGCCTCCCCTCGGACCCATTTGGCCCCCAGCACCTCCGAGCCCCCCACACCCCCCACCCCAAACCACCCATCACCAGTCACCCAGTAACAATAGTTCAGATCTTGTCACAGCAGAAGAGAAACCCACGCTCCGACCCTGCTGTGGGAAAGGATTCAGTCACTCGGAGCTGCGGTGACACAGCTCGTGTGGTGACACCATATCTCCCTTCCTGCATTGGGACCAGAGCCACCATGTCACCTCCTCCTGGCAGGCAGCAGCCAAGCCCTGCAGCAGGGCAGCACCCAGCATCATCCCACCAAAAAAAAAAGTCAGTTCTGTTTGCACTAAAAAAGCTGCAGCAATTAAAAGCCAAAAAGCACAAACCCTGCTGCTGCTCTCCCACGTGGGCACCTCGCTGGCACCAGCAGCAGAGAGGGGTCTGGAATTCACAGCCTGGTGCTGTCACCCATGGAGAATGGAACAGAACCAGCAGCAGACTTGGTCATAATCCCACACGAGCACCCAGCGATCGCTAAATCACAACTCCAGCAACGATCCCTTCACCCCCAACCCTCTCTCCACCTGCACGTGGAGAAGAGCAGCCCAAGGAGAAGCTCTGACACTCAACACACCCACGGGAAACTCCCTCAACACCAGCACAGAGGGGATTGAACACGCTTGGATTTATTCCATCAACCACCAGCCCTTCAGCCAGGACCCTCACGGCACCCGCTCCGCTACCTGCAGCCGCACTCGTCCACCACCATGTCCTCGTAGTGCCTCAGCACCACGTTGTCATTGTTATCATAGTAGAGGATGGAGATGGGGGACAGCCTGACGGGGACGCAGCAGGGCTGGGGGGTCCCCTCGGGGTCCAGCGAGTGCACCATGGTTTGGAGGATGGCGTGGTTGGTGCTGTTGAGCTCCGCTGTCAGGGGAAAGGGACACTCGCCCAGGCAGTAATTAGCCAGGTAGCCCTGGGGGGCAATGATCCAGTTCTCCCAACCAACGTCGCTGAAGCTGATATAAAGCCGCCGGGGTTTGCAGAGGTTGCTCGGAGTGACAGGGGTGGAGTGAGCACTTCTCCTCATCCTGGAAGCTTTGCACTGCTTCTGGCTGAGGGTCACCACCAGGAGAGAGGTGTCCAGGAAGGAGTCGATGCTGGTGCAGAGGCTCTGCAGCCCCCCGTGCTCCGGGGCTGACGCACCATCACCGCCGCTCACCGAGATCTCCAGGATCAAGCCCAGGTTCCTGCTGTACGTTCTCCAGTCCTTCGCCACCCCGCTCAGGTTGAAGAGAAGAGACTTGTGCAGCTGGGCAAAGGACTGTTCCACCAGCAGCTTTCGGCCATGCTCGTGGGAGGGCATCCCCCGTAGAGACATCTGGGAGGTTTGGTAGAGCCTCAGCTCAAAAACCTGTCCCTGGCTGGAGGTGTGGTAGGAGTTGTGGCTGAATTTGATCTCCAGCTGAGCCATCGTCAAGCGCTCGCCCTCCTCCAGCACCGAGAGGTTGAAGTACAGACGCTTCTGCAGACACAGCAACCTCTGGGGCTGCCCGTCATGAATGAAATGGCCTGACAAAGAAGGAGAAATAGAGGTGGAGGTGGTTGGACCTTGTTAGGCTGAGCAGGATCAGGCTCCCAGGGCTCCAATTGAAGCTCCTGGCTGCACAGCAGGATGGGGCTGATGGGGGCGGGCAGCCAAGCACGCCTGCAGTCCTTGGACCGAGAGGACAAGGCTGCAGTAAGGGCTCTCAGCCCGATGGTGTGGCCTTCAGAAAGGTCTGGAGACACAAATGCTAAAGCCTGGGCTCCAGCCTGCAGCTCTGGAATGCTGCAGCCGCTCCAGCATCTCCTCTGGATGCTACTTCAACATCTTGGTGCCTTGTTTTCCCCCAGCTGTAAATATCTCCCCCCAGGATGGGGGGGGTGTTGTGGGTGCTGCTCACTGGGGATGGAGGGGAAAGGAGGGCAAAGAGCAGCAACCTGGAGGAGCTGGTAAGCTGCCTGGTTTAGCCAGCTCTAGGTTTCCACTGGAAGCCTGGAATCACAAGAGAAGTGAGCTCCATGGTGTCTTGAGACCAACCAAACAGTTCCCATGTAGCTGAGAACAGCTGAAGCAGCCAGATGTGCCGCGTGGTCAGCCAGAGGCATGAGGACAAAAAGGAGGAGGGGGAGAGGCAGCCAAATGGCCGAGCATCCCGTCTGCACCCAAGCTGGGTGCTGGTCTCACTTGGTGCACCCACAGCCATGTTACCCAGGCAAGGAGTCATCTCCACCACTGCAAGCCCAACACGTCCGACCAGTCACCTGGGATCAAACCAGCATCTCTGGACTGCTCAGGTGACCCCACAGAGCCTCACACAGCTCCCAGACTCACTTCTACACTGTAAATAATTATCTACAACATCCAGAGGGACCAGAGTTGACACAGCAGGGATTTCTCCTGGAGAATGATCTCAGCTGCTGCCCTGTCCTCCCCCAGCCTCTCCTACCTACACCCAAGAGACAGAAAAGGAAGGACTGGAGCAAAGTCTCCCAAGCCCAGAGACAAGAGGAGCTTCCAAAGGACAGGACCCAAACCACGGCATTGCTGTACCTTGGTCAGTGAAGACACGGATGATGTTCCCAGGGACGTTAAATTCCTCCACCCTACAGGCATCCACCAGATCTTTGTCTGTAGAAGGCAGCATCTTTCTCTTCTGGAAGATCCTCCAGAGCACAGATGGCACAGGAACGGGGCTTTTTGGGTTGGGTTTGGTGCTCAAACCCAAAGATTTCAGCAGTAAACTTTCCTGCAAACTTAACTCCATCCCCAGAACCAGGCTCAGGAGAGCCCAGGCGAGGCCGGCTCGAAAGCTGGAGAGAAGCCACATTGCTCTGCTCTGCTCTCCTTCCTGCAGACAAAGAGCAGCCTGGGCTGGGGACCTGAAGACAGGGGCCAGGGCGTGTTGATGGCCTGATTGGAGCCTTTGATCTGGTTAGTGCTCAATTAGCACTGAGGGATTCCCAGGATTGGGCAGAGGGTGCGAATGGTCCCTCCAGGCTCCCCAGGACCTGTTAACCCTTTGAGGCTGCGTGACAGGAGGGCAGCTGCCCTCCTCCCCCAAACCTCCTACAGTCTGTCCCACATCTCCACACCGTCGAGGTCCAACAACAAAGTCCGTGGTTGGCAGGAGAGGGCTGCCACATGGATCTTCTCCACACAGATGCCAGCAAGTCCAGCACTGCTCCCGTCCACTGCAGATATCCCACCCAGATCCAGAAGGAGACACAGGTCAGAGTCTCCTCTTCCTCCCAAATCAGTTCCCAACACAGCACCCAACACCTCCCTCTTTAAGATCATCAACTTCCAGCACATCAAATCTTCACTCCCTGCCACACACCCACCACCCTGCCCACAAGACACATGGCCCCAGGGCCAGCACAAAAAGCCATCAGCACCCACCCCAGCACCCAGCCAGGCAGAGGAAAGGGTGCCCCTTTCCAGCCATCACAGCACAGCTGATGTTCCACACACACACACACACACACACACACACACACACGTGCTGGGACACGAGTTACCCACTTACATGTCAAAGCCTGGCCAAGCCAATCCCATAAAATTCAGTTGACCCACACGGGCGCTGACGTGGTACCACCGTTACCCCAACCCCACCAGGACGGAGCAGAAAGAGGCCTGGGGTATCAGTTCCCTTCCTTTCCTCCTTCCTGCAAATCCCACTTGAAGCCAAGGAACCGAAGCACTGAGGTGCATCCCTCAAACCCTGCTAGGCCATGAGGAGTGAGAAGGTGATGGATCCTGTCACAGCTCGGGACAGTTGCCATCAGCCCAAGTCACGTTTTACTTTCTGTTTACCAAGGACCTTTCCCCGTGGCTCACACCATGAGCCTGGAGCTGAATCAATACAACAAAGCAAACGAGAAAAAAAACCAAAACCCAACAATTAACCACCCTCTGACTTGGAATTAATGCCCTGAATCCCCCCGTGCCACTGCCTGATGTCCCTGGCTGGGAGGAGCTCCACTTCCCCAGGAGGACACAGGAGCTGTGGGTCCTGGCCCTGTGAGACAGGAGCAATGCGACAGTCTTGGTTCAAGGACTTTCTTGTAAAATCCACAGAACTTTCTGTGTCTTTCTTGCCCAGAGAAGCTGTGGCTGCTCCTCCCTGGAAGTGTTGAAGGCCAGGCTGGATGAGGCTTTGAGCAACCTGGTCTAGTGGAAGGTGTCCCTGCTGCTGGCAGGGGGGTTGGAACTGGATGAGTTTTAAGGTCCCTTCCCACCCAAACCAGTCTGGGATTCTGTGATTCCCAGCAGAGAGGCACAGCCCAGCCCAGCCACTGGACCTTGCTCAGGGCTGGTGCCACCTGGAAAACCAACGCAGGGAGCAGAAACTATTTGTTCTTTACTTGAGCAAGCAGACACTGCTGGGTGAGAGCACAGAGATCCCTTAGCAGGGGACTCTGCAGGACCAGGACTGGCTTTTTAAGCAACTACAGGACTTACACAGGCTTTTTAAGCAAATTAAATCTCCTGGCCCTCATCCAGCAGGACAGGAGGTTGGAATAACGCTCCAGGATTGGGTTTCCAGGCAGACCCGCTCACGGGAACTGTGCTGTGCCTCCAGAGATATGTGGGCAGCTCTGTATCAGTGTCCTCTCCAGAGGAGGAAGGTTCAGAGGTGCCCTGCATCACCTCTCTAGTCCCTGCTCAGCAGTTAGAGAAGAGCTGGCTTTGGGCTCCCCTTACCTGGGATGGTGAGGCCACTGGAGGAGAGGACCAGATGTTTCCCTCCCCAGTTTGATGCTGGGTGACAGGACCGTTACAGGGCTCCTGAGGAGGGGTCCAACAATAAAGACGGGAGAAACCACAAAGGGAGTGAGAATAGCTGAGGGATGGAGGGACAGAAGAAACACCAGGGGACCTAAAGCCAGCTCCAAATCCTACCTGGACCAGCAAAGCCACCAGCCTCCCAACTGAACCAGCACAGACTGGCTACAGAAAGCACATCAGCATCAGGTGAAGTCTGGTCACAGACAAGCCCCAGGAGGGGCCCGATCCCATCAGTGGCATCTCTTCCCCAGCTCCAGGCAGGGGATGAAGGGGTGTTGGGGATGAAGTTCTCCTAGTGTCTTTCATTTGCTGGGTTTGAGTGGAGGGTCCTGGGTGAGTCCCCAGATCCAGCAGCAGCCACGCTTCCCTTACAACCGCTTGTCTTTTATGAGTCCATTCCTCAGGTGCATCCTGTGAAGGAGAGAGCACAGCAGGCAGTGAGCCTCGGGCTCCACACCCACTCTCCCTCCCTTTCTTTCACAAATCTCTACTGAGGTCAGACCTGTCTTGACAGGCTCACGTAGACAATCTGTCCCCAGTCAGCCAGACCTGCTCTGTGGGACCCAGCATCTTGCCACACTTTGTGCTCAGCACATGAAGGGCAAATGCTGCTCAGAGAGAACAGCCTCAAGCAAAGGGCCAGTCATGGTGAGCAGGAGAAGGAGTTGGTGAGGATTTGTGGGACAGAAAGATGGATGGACACAGCACAGTGCTTAGGCATGGAGATACAAAGCCCTTCCTGATACCTGCAGCAATGTTTTATACTCTGTGCCAAGTCACCCTGCTCTCCTGTCTTCCAGCAAAGTGGGGAACCCTCCAAGAGTGGCTCCAGTGCCCTGGGAGATCTGCCAGCATCCCTTCCCCTACCCCACAGATGCTGCACACGTGTCACCCCCGTCCTGCCCACATACCCTTCTTTCAGAGCACTGGGCAGCTGGAGTCCAGCCTCTTTCTTCTTGGCCATTTTCTTGGTTTTCTTGCTGTCCTCCACGTCGTACTCACGCACGTCATTCACCTCTTGCATCTGCCCCATCAGCACCTTGGCCACAAACAGGACGATGTACTGTGGGGGGAGAGACTCCATCAGCCACGAGCTCCAGGGCTTAGAGCTGTTCCCCTCAACCTGCTCACTCCCATTTTTTAAGTGGGACCTTTCTCCACTGTCCCCAACCCCAGGAAGGGCAGAGCAGATCCCTCTGGGCTGGTCAAAGCCCTGGGCAGTGGCTGATGATCTGCAGCAGTGGGAGGCTGCACTCCTGCAACAACCCTTTGCTGATTTCATCCCCAGAGGGTGATGAACCACCCTGCTCTGCCCAGGGTCCAGCTTGCTGAGGTGAACCCTCCAAGTTCACCCTTTTCACCCCCTCCCCAAAGCTTCAGGAGATGCCAGAGCATTTACACCCATACAAAGTCCCACCCTGTCCCAGCTGCTGTTATCTCTCCCTCCACATCAATCCCTGGGGTGTGAGACTGTCTGAATTCCAGCACAGAGAAGTTCCTCTGGCACTGACATGGGTTTCCCTCCTCCCCTCCAAGCCAACCCCCAAGTCCTCCAAAGCCTCCTCCATCCTTGCAGTCCCCAGATAGGCAGGCATCAGGCACCATGCAGGAGGAGCAGAGGAGGGAGAAGCTAATGTAGGGGTTGCTGAGCTCCCCCTACTCACCAGAAACCAGTAGATGTTCATCAGAGTGAGGACAAGGAGCAGAGCATTGAAGAAGAAGTAGAAGGGGATATTAGGGACCGACTGGAGGCTGGAGTAGCAAGTGGCGTAGAGCACCTTGAGGGGGAACCAGTAGAGACGGAACCAAAACCTGCCAGGGCAGAGGGAGCAGGGTGGGTTTGATGGTCCACAGGGATCCCGGGAGAGACGTGAGACCCAGCAGAGCTTCCCCAGCACAACCTCCTGCCCCCAGCCAGCCCTTGCCAGCTCCTCTTGGACCCAGTGGTCCATGCTCTTGGCATCTGGCTTGGGTTTAGAGGTCTGGCTCTAGGCAGGACTTCACACAGACCCTGTGAAAGGGCAGCTGCTGAAGGGAGGACACAATTTCTGTGAGCAGAAAAGGCACCAGGGGCAGGGCAGAGAAAGGGCTTTCTCAGGGTAGAGGGACAGGTCTACGCTGCCGATTATCTCAGCTGGATGGGGACAGGAGGGGAATTCAGCCAGAAGGTTTTCCTAGTCCTGTGCGTCTCTGGTTTATCACTGAACCCTTTGCTGCTCTCCTTCCCCCAAATTGAAGGCTCTTGTTGTCACCTCTGCTTTTCAGAGCAGCTGGCAGAGAGAGAAGCTGGAGACAAAGGGACAAATGAGGAGTGACAACCTGCGAGTTACCCATCTCTATTCTCCACCTTTTTTTTTCCTCCCTCCTTTCCTCAAGAGGAATAGCAAGGCTGGAATCTGGGACAGTCCTACCTCCCCTTTTCCTTCTTGCCAAAGTACTTCTTAGTGCTAAAACCAAGTGAGTGGGAAAATGGCAACAGCTCCTCCTCCCCTGGGGTCATTTGTCATGCTGCAAGCGAGATTTCACAGGCACTTCTGTGGTGACAGACAGCAAAGTGACTATAGAAGGATTCCAAGCCCAGCATGGGGTCAGGCTCTGCAGGAACCTCTTCCCAAAGGGTTTTTGAAAGGGCTCATTCCCAGGCACACAAACCCAGCCAGCAGCACCCCGAGGCACCAGAGGGATTGCAAAAGCTGGCAAGGAGGGTTGGAAGCTGGATCCAGTGGCCAAACTCACCAGCTGACGCTGAAGGTGAGGCAGCCGATGTTGGAGATGACATCGTTGAGGCGATGATAAACTCCTCCCCGGTGCTTGAAGTAGACATTGAGCTTGGTGAATTCCAGCTGCACATCATTGACGTCGTGCAGGAAGAGCACCAGGATGCCCACGTTGTGGTACCTGCAGGAAAAAGAGGAGCAGGGAGGGAGGTGTGCAGGGCGGTGGGTTGATGCCAGCACCCATGGTCCACCACACCAGGAGCAGACAGACTCCCCTGAATAATCCAAACACCCAGACCTGGCACAGCACAGCATAGCAACG